CTGGAGTGAAGGGATACCATCCAGAAGATCCTGGACAGTCTGGAGACGTGGGCATGTGCAAACCATATGAAGTTCAACAAGGCCAAGTGCAAGGTTGGCGCAGTACCAAGCACAAGTACAGGCTGGGTGGAGAATGGATAAAGAGCAGCCCTGAGGAGAAGGACTTGGGGGTACTGGTGGATGAAAAGCTGGACATGAGCTGGCAGTGAGTACTTGAAGCCCAGAAAGCCAACCGTATCCTGGGCTGTATCCAGAGAATCGTGGCCAGCAGGTGGAGAGAGGGGATTCTCCCCCTCTATTCAGCTGTCTTGAGACCCTACATCCAGCTCTGGATCTCCCAACATGAGAATATCAACTGGTTGGAGCAAGTCGAGAGGAGGGCATCGAAGATGATCAGAGGGCTGGAGCACCTCTCCTGTGATGAAAGGCTGAGGCAGTTGGGTTTGTTCAGCCTGGAGAAGAGAAGGCTCTGGGGAGACCTTATAGCAGCTTTCTAGTACCTGAAGGGGACTTATGAGAATGCAAGAGGGGGACTTTTTACAAGGGCCTGTAGTGATATAACAAGAGGTAATGGATTTAAACAGAAAGTGAGTAGATTTAGGTTAGATATCATGAAGAAATTCATCACAGAGAGGGTGTTGAGGCACTGGTGTGGATGTCCCCTCCCTTTAAGTGTTAAAGGCCAGGCTGGATGAGGCTTTGAGCAACCTGGTCTAGTGGAAGGTGTCCCTGCCCATGGCAGAGGCGTTGGAACTAGATGATCTTTAAGGTCCCTTCCAACCCAAACCATTCTATGATTCTGTGATGATCATCCCCAGCACCAAGGTCATACTGCAGGCCTGTAGTTCCCCAGATCCTCCTTCCAGCCCTTCATGTAGATGGGCATCACATTTGCTAATCTCCAGTCAACTGGGACCTCCCCAGTTAGCCAGGACTGCTGATATAGATGGTGGAAAGTGGCTTGGTGAGCACCTCTGCCAGCTCTCTTAGTACCTTTGGGTCAACCTCATCTGGTCCCATAGACCTGGTGTGGCAGGTTTCTAACAATTTTCCCTTTGATTGTGGGGCTTCATTCTGCTCCCCATTCCTGTCTCCCATCTCAGGGGGCTTTGTTCCCAGAAAACAACTTCTCTTGCTATTAAAGACTGAGGAAAAGAACACCTTAAATACCTCAGCCTTTTCCCCATTCTTTATACTTAACTTTTCCCACCTATAGGAGATTCTCTTTAGCCCTCCTTTTGTTGCTAATGTATTTATAGAAACATTTTTTACTGTGTTTTATGGCAGAGGCTGGGTTAAGTTCTAGTTGGCCTTGGGCCCTGTCATGGTTTAGCCCTGTCAGGCAATTAAGCACCACCAGTCACTCTACCACTCCACCTCCTCGACCCCTTCCCCCCACTCCCAGTGGAAAACAAGGAAAGAGGAAAACAAGGGAGGCTCGTAAAATTTGAGGTAAGAATTATTTAATTATATAAATGAAACTTATGGAGTTACTAACAATGCTCTTGCTAATAAGTAATTAAAAGAACAGAAAAATAGAACAAATAATACGGTATCTCACCACCTGTGGATGGACACAGCCGGGTTCCAGGACAGCAAGCAAAAATAAATCCAAAGCCCCGAGGATAAAAACCCCCTCCCTGAGCCCAGGAGCCAAGAGTAGGGGGAAAGAAAACCTTCAACTGCCCCTGCCCAGAGCAATTTCCCTGACAAAAACACTAACTCTCTGCTAATCACCTGACGGGAGGTCCGGACAAAGACCTCGCTGCCAAGAGAGAAAAAAAATGTTCTGCCAGCAAAAAAAAGCACTGCTGGCTGAAACTTTCAGGGTGATCCCTGCCACCTTCTGGGTCCGGCCTCCACAAGTTTCCCCCCGGCCTCCTCCCAGTGCCTCCAGTACGGGGGTAACAGTGACCACTCAGCTTGATGTATTATGGAATGAAACAAAATCTTATAGACTGCCCTAGGAGAGCAGATCATCGCTGCCTGAGACCAGGACAGGCCCTTATAATTTTCTCTCTGCAAAACCTCAGAACATCCTTGTACTCCTTCTGAGTTGTCTCTTCTCAAGGCCATAAACTCTTTTCCCTGCATTTCTACCAAAGCGCTCTGTTCAGCCAGACTGGTCTCCTTTCCCTGCTGGCTCATCTTTTGGCACGTGGAGACAGCCTGCTCCTGCACCATTAACATTTTCTTCTTGAGGAATGTCCAGCGTTTCTGGATTCCTTTGCCCTTCAGGACTGCCTCCCAAAAGACTCTGCCAAACAGTCTCCTAAACAAAGCGTGCCCTTTGCAATTCCAAGGTAGCAGTTCTGCTGACCCCCTTCCTTACTTCTCTAAGAATCAAAACCTCTATCTTTTTGTGCTCACTTTGCCTGACAACCTCCTACTGTCACATCACCCACAAAGTCCCTCTCTGTTCACAAACAACAGGTCCAGTGTGGGACCTTCCCTAGTTGGCTCACTTATCAAGTGTTTCAGGAAGTTATCTTCCACACAGAATATGGAATACATATAACTGATTTAGAAAAAGTTGTTCATATTCAAAATAACTAAGACCAGCTTTTACTGTATGTCTGTGAAAATGAAGTGTTAGGTAATTACAATCCATAACAGAATCAAACTTCATTTTTTTTACACAAGCTCCATTTTTGGGACAGATATTTGTTGGTTTATGTAGTTTACCCACAGGGGGAGAGGTAATAATGTGTTATGTCACACAGACACAAAAACAGCTGAATTTTCTTAGTGCTTGAATTTTTTTCTCATTTAAGCCCAATTTGAAATTCTGTCTATTTTAAAGCTACTGCCTACAGATATTAAATAACCCTATTGTTATGGTTCTGCGGTCAGCAAAATACTGACTCACAGAGTAGTCACTGCACCTGATGTTGATAATGAGTAAGCAGTGTCCGCAGTAATAAATGTTTGCAGGGACAAGACACTGGTATTATAAATTGCTTTTGATTTGCAGTACATATTCCATAAGAACATGTCAGGGAAGCATATTTGATTTTAGAAAATAATTATTAGGACAACCCTAGAGTCAATAAAAACAAGGCTGTAGTAGGAGAGAATTCAATTTTATCACTGCAAACCTGATTATAAGCTCTACCAGTAAAAGGTCCTGCTAAGGTCTCCAAGAAAATTGAGGGACGATTAATGCTTTCTGTGTTTCCTCTGTCAGCATTCCAGTTCATCATGTAAAAGGTGTTTGTCTGTATGTGCGCTGTCCATCGTTCCCAACACAACCAAACCTTCATTACTTCTGCCTTAACAGAAGTATAATCAAGATGTTCCAACTGTTTGTCATAGCTCAGGTTTCCTACACTGCCAAACATAAAGTATGAGGCATGGGAGGATTTTTCCACCTGAAGGATGTGTCTTCTGTACAAAGTTCAAATATCAATACCACTCCATGGCAAGCGTGGTAGCTTTATGGACTTCTAGATGTTGAGACCACTCTTTATCCAAAGTTTTTGTCACTAGTTAAAAGGTAAGGGTTGCTGTGTGCATAGGAGATACAACTTCTCCACTGATACTGGCATAAGTTTTGAAACATTTCCATGCTGGTAAACAGTTGGAGAATGTGAAAATCTGTGCTTCGTGGAAGACTGAGACCTTCAGAGACACTGCGAAAAATCAGAGGTTCTGAAATTGAAAAGCAAATTCTGATTCATAGATGAAGAGGTGTTTTGTTTTGTAACGTGTCCTCAGTGGATTCCAATATTCCTCAAAAGCAACATACAATTTCTTGGATAGCTTTAACGGTCAGCATGTCATGATCGGTGACTGAGGAATGTTAGTCAAGAGTTTGCTTTTAATTCATCTCCTGAGATTACTGAGCACGGAGAAGCATGTAGACTTGTGGAAGTGTGTCTGCAATGCCTGCTGTGATTCAGCAATTAGAAATTCAGCAATTTTTTTGCTTGTTTATTGGGGTTTTTTTAATCCAGTCTGGGACACCCTGATGAAATAATGTCCTTTGAAAAAAATATTTCCTGACTTAAATTCTTAAAAGTGGTTGCCCCATCCTCTACATAATCAAGATCTTGCCGGTCTACTTTCAGCATGGAGACAGTTTAAATATGTCACCTGTTAGAAGCAACTTCATCTGCCATCTTTCACATCCAAATTGTCTGTATTGAGCCCTTCTGGAGCATTTTTGAATGAGGTATTCTCAGGTCTTGTTAGTTATGGTATAGAAATACTTAAAATCTTTTTTTCTTATTTTTTTCATCAATCTGAAGTTAGTGAACAAGGCTTGATAGGGGTCTGTAATTGCTTCATTTGTTAAAAGCTGTTGTAAATGATCCCAGCTTTGAGAAAAAACGTCTTGTTGATATCTTCTTTGTATTCCCTCCCTCTGCTTCCATTACCCACTTCAAGGTTTTTACTTTCTCTGATAGGCAAAGTGCCTAGAAGCCAAGGGAGTTAAGCAGAGCCACTTTATTCTGCTTCTAGGCTAGTGCCAATTGCAGCTGTGGGAATCAGCTCTTTCTGCTACTAGTCTCTGTAATGGTTATGTTCAAAACGGCTTATGTCATGTTGTCATCAACTTCATGTCAGAGACATGCTTCAGAACAGTAACTGGGACTGAGCACACTCCTTCACAGTGACAAGCAAATAAGCAGAAGCATAATATCTTAGTATCTTTCTGGTTTCTGCCTTTCCATTTTATGATTTTTTTAGTCAAAATATATGTGTAACTTACACTTGACGGAATTGTATCTACTGTGTAAAATATCACCTGTTAGCAATTTATAACTCTGTGACTCACACTTGAAAACTTGTTATGTATCAAGAGAAATGTAATGTTGTGAAAGAAATTAAATGTGCTGTTACATTGGGTGTCCCCATGCTATAGAATTTTTCGTAGGGTGTTTTTAAAATTTTCTGTGATTTTAAAAGATTAAAAGTAATATTCTTATTTCTCTTTCTATTACTTTGGATAATACATGCTACAGGGGGCATAGATTTATTGTTTTATTTCTTCATAGATATTTCGTTGATCATAACACAGAAGAAGATAGATATTTCACCATTGATGCTAATACTGGGACCATTAAGACTGCCAAGATCTTTGACAGAGAGGAGACACCTTGGTACAACATCACAGTGGCTGCTTCTGAGATAGGTAAACAATGTATTTGGCATATAATGTTAAAAAAATAGGAAATAAAATAATAATTTTCAGATGTTAAGAAATACTGTCTTGAGATGTCATGTTTTTGACACCATGGGGGTTTTGGCCAGTTTGGATAAAGGATAATATTCTTTGTATGTATAAATTCCACAGAACAAATAAACAAAACTCCACATGCCTATGCTATTCCACCTATGTAAATTTAAAATGTTTTTCTATAGGTGATAGAAGGCTTCCAATTTACCCAGGAGCAGTTCCAAGTGTTCAGCGTCTGAAAATGAACAGCTAGACTGTTTGTGTTTCATATTTCATATATCTTAGAAGATAATATTGTATAGTACTGAGAAATTAATCCTTCCTTCTTGTATCTGCTATTAATCTATTTTAACAAATTACATGTTAAATATGCTAGCATTAATTTAGACTAGATGCCTAGTAATTTTTGATTATCAAGGTATACCTCTGGCCTTTTAATAGGCAAATTGCCAGAAAAAGATACAATAAATGCCTGTGCATTTGAAAGGCCTCAAAGTCTGATGAATTTCCATTGCCTTAGATAAGCACTATGACAGTCTACAAATATCTGACTGAGTAGTCCTGGGTAAATATTTTTACATGAGGCAAAAATGGTTTAATGAACGTTTCAGTTAACCATTTTATTAAAGAGTCTTTATTTTGGTACAGTCAAAGTTTCAGAGTTAAAAACCCCAACAAACCAAATGAAAAAAAGATCCCAGCCTGTATCAGTAAATCCAGTCCTGCTAAGTACTCTTCGTGATATCATCTTTCAGTAACAGTGATTTTGATCAAAACTGTGAACTATTTTTATGTATATTCCTTTCCTTTTTCTTCTTTGGGTTTTTTTGTTTGTTTGTTTGTTGTTTATTCTATCATTGCCAATGTCACAGTACAAGTTTTACCTGTAACAAGTGCCACTGACATTACTGAGCCCCCTCTGCTTTCATCTGTTTCATCTCCAGGTTAAAATGGAATCTGCTCTGCCACTACATCCCTGGCACACGTTGTAGAATTAATATTTGTTTCTTATTACTGTGCCTGCTTTTACAACTAAATTGACATTTTGAACTAAATTAATTTCTACTGTAAATAATAAAATCTAGATTTTTATGATTAGCCCTTTAAAAAAGGTAACCACTGACACCTCAGTGTGCTTGACAGTGTTTTTGTTTATAATATGTTATTTCAGTGCGGCATGAAATAAAATGTAATTTAGGCCTAATCATAAGCAGGTGCATAGTAAGTGTTATTTTTAATTAAGATTTAAAACCTACATTGGGGCATGCTGAAAAAAAGGAACAGGCACAAGTCCTTTTTGGAAACCATCCAAATATAATTATTTAGCAGAAATAAATCTCAATAGCATTGAACTTGAATGTAGCTTTCTACATATTATTTATTTTACATAGTAAAATGAGCGCTTGTACACGTACCATGCTGAGAGAATGGTATGGAGAATGGAGAAAGATTATGTTTATAACTAAAAGAGGCTGGAATGAACAATGAGGATGAAATGCCATTTTTTTAGAGACAGCCAACTTAAAATTCTCCCTTCTAGATGCAACTTGTTACATGAAAATAGAGATTTTTCTTTTTCCCTTTCATTGCCTTTCTTACTGTTAAAGTTGAGGTGGAAAGATAAGAAAATCTATAATGTCAGTTTGAAAAAGAATTTGGTTTTGAAGAAAGGGAAAGACAGCATTGAAGACAAGGTGGATGGCAGACAGACTGACAGGCAGCCTAAATGACAGGCAGCCTTGAGTCCGTTTCTTTGGCCATTTTTTGACCTACAGTAATTTGAAAATTACAACACTGCTCTACTCTCCAAATCCATTTTTTGTCATCATTAATTGTATCTACAGTAGAACAAGAAGCATATGTTGTGCATACAGCATCAAGTCCAGAACTCTTATGTTATGTGCTGAATATCCCATATCTACAGTCTTTTATGGTATTCACTTTCAAGTCACAGCAGAACTAAGACTGAAGCTGAAAAAAGGTGGAAGGCCAGAATGTTACTTAGCTAGGAGAGTGTCTGCAAGTTTGTCTGATACTGCAGAAGGCATTTGCAGCTTCTGACACCGTTTCCTTCACCAAGAGCATAGCAGAATCTGCAAGGCCCAAAAATATTGTACTGCTTCAATGATAAGAGGTGCTCTGCTGAAATAATCTTATGGTGATAGTATCTTGAAACGTTTTCTTCTCTTGACTTTATAATACACTTCAGTGACAGAATTCAGTTTCTCCTGATCGTCCTTTGGGCAGCTATTTGTAGCTGTGCTTACTTTATGCAAAAGAAATTTAGAATCAACATCCTATTTCTCCTTTCAGATGTACGATATCCTTATGCTTCAGCCTTATTTTTTCTGAACCTTTCATAGGAGGCTTGCTTTCACTTTTAGTCCTAGTGTGTGGAATACACTGTATTGATCAAATGGCCCCCTGAAATCAGTGGAAGTTCTACTGCTTTTCTCTGTGGGAATAATGTTGATGCAATGTAATCATCAGTGATTTTTCTGATTACACAGACACTGCCTAAAGCACAGCAGAGTTCTATGCCACGAGAATGGGACAACCCTTTTTTTCTTTGACATACAGTGTTTCTTAACAGCAGCACACAGTGAGAAAGAGTGGGATTTTGGTGTCCAGGGCACACCACTGAAGCTGTTACTTTCATTGTTTTAGTACTAGTACTTCCTGAAAACTCCTTGCCATAATAAGGAATAAGAAACATGATAGAATAATACTATATTTTATATTGTATATTCCTATAATTGTGTCCTATTACAAGGAATGCTAATTGACAGATCTGACAGCAGTCCTTAAAATATCCCAGTCTTAAATTTTCCACTTCCAAAAGAAACAACCATTCACTATGACTGTATTTCTTTCCTCCACATCAGTCTTTTCATTGGTTATAAAATTTTGTCCTTTACTCTGTATTTCCCTATTTCCATTACTCTTGTGTCGTGGTTTAACTCCG